CGGCTGCTGACGTCATTACGCTCTTGCGCGATGCTGCGTTCAGGACAAGCATGGAAAACTCACCACTCTTGTTCCAATACGGTCGCAATGATGCATTTAGTTACCAAAATGGAATTGCATGAACATTCACGTGGTGGTTATGTAATACAGCGAATCGATAATAAAAAATCTGCGTCGACAAATTTACATAATCAACGTCATCGATTATTTCAACTAATCGGTGCAGCCCTAGAAATTGCACAAAATCACTGAGTCCAGCTTTAAAGATCAGAGTGAATAACTCATGATCTTTCAGTAAAAATCTTTTTGAGTCGATAGGCGTGGTCCTGAGCTGCATCTCCCTGCAGTGACTCTGTGCTGCACCTGAATCCTGATGTGTGTTAATTAGGCTGGGAACTCGCAGCAGATTCTGTCATCCATCGACTCTTTCTGGAGTCACAGCCAAGCTCCTCATTTCAGAGAGAGATACTAAAGCATACGTTGTTGCAGTTTTATGTGGTTCTCTAGTCACAAATCACGTTTGCAGCTGTGATGCAGACAGACTCAAAGAATCAAAGATGTCTGAAAGAGCTGCCTGCATGGAGTCAGAAACAAAGAGACGCTCTTTAATTAACTGCAGCTCATTGTCGTCTCACTCGACATCCAAACAATCCACGCCTGCCAAACTCCCTGCTCATCCTCAGGTTACTGTTTCTCTGTGCTCCTCGGGGTCTGCTGCCTCAGCTCCAGCTGCATTAGGATCCAGTTACCTAAAAATAACACGCCATGCAGCTGTCATCTTTATTCCAAGGTAAAAAGGAAAGTGATGAAGCGAAATATATTTTTTGTGGCTCCTAACATTCCTGCAGACAGATCCATACAGATCCAAGTAATTCAGACTTTGCTCACTAGACAGCAGTTATGGATAACTTTTACCTGAAGTAATACAAGAACAATAGAGATGATGCTTCGTTATAAAGTCTGTTAAATATTTGTGTGAAAATTAACCTGAAAATGACAAAAATACTAATTTAATCAGAGGGAACCGGTCCAGGAGGGAAACCCAAACATCCCTTGAGTGGCGCTCTTTAGCTCCTCCTAAGGTCTTCTCAGATCAGAGTTGCTCCAGAGGGACCAGCTCAGGAAGCCTGTCTAAAACCACCTCAGCTGAGTATTTTTGATGCGAAGGAGCAGCTTTCCTCGGGTGATGGAGCTCCTCTACTTACTGAGCCTGACCAGCCCACTGAGGAAGCTCATTTCAGCTGCCTGTGTCTCCTCCTGGTCACGATCCACATCTCCTGACCATGATGGCACAAAGATGGACCAGCACATTAAGTGCTTTGCTTTTTGACTCCTCTTTTTATTCCACGGCTATATACCAGAGCTATTCCATCCCTGCTTCAGACAACCGTCAGTCTGTTGGTCCGTCTCCTACTCCATCCTGTCATCACTCACGAAGAAGACTCCGAATCCTCTGCTTCAAACACTCCGAAGGGACGATTCCACATTCAGAGTTCTTCTAGACCAGGGGTGCCCAAACATGTTCCCTGAGGGGGCCAAAAATGAAAGTCTATCCATGGCTGCGGGCCAAATGCAGTTATATAATACATGAAATACAAATACTTTTTTAAGTAAAGTCCTTTATTTTTAACGATTAAGCTATGCAGTGGCCCTCTTTTGTTTTAGTCTGTGCACTTGGAGAAAATCTGCCATACGCTCAAGTAGCAAAGGCTCATACATTGATAAAATATGAGTTTTTGTGGCCTTATAAATTGTATAAATTGTGCAAATCTACATGTGGGGTTAAATCTGATCTAAATATTTCTTGTTGTTGTTTCATGTTTAATCCTAATAAATCAAAGAAATGCCAGCACCATGACTGAAAACTACCTTCACTACAGCCCTCTTATATGTAGTCATTTCACCAATGGAAATACAGTGTTTCTACCTATAGGATAACAGGTTACAAACTTGTAACTTTGGCAACTGTTGGTGGGCCAAATCAAATGGCTTGGCGGGCCAAATTTGGCCCGC